CGGAGTCTCAGTTTGTCACCCTCGGTAGAGTGTTGTGGCATCACAGCTCACAGCAACCTCCAGCTCTTGGGCTTAGGTGATTCTCTTGCCTCAGCATCCCAAGTAGCTGGGACTACAGGTGCCTGCCACAACGCCTGGCTATATCATGAAATTTTCTCATTTTGTCACCCTTGGTAGAGTGCTATGGATCATAGCTCACAGCAACCTCAAACTCTTGGGTTCAAGCTATCCTCTTGCCTCAGCCTCCCTAGTAGCTTCAGGTGCCAGCCACAATGCCTGGCTATTTTTTAGAGACAGGGTCTAGCTCTGGCTCAAAATGGTTTTAAACCCCTGAGCTCAGGGAATTCATCCACCTTGGCTTTCCATAGTGCTGGGATTATAGGAGTGAGCCACCGTGCCTGGCCTGCTCTGATGAATTAAAAAATAATAATTTCGGTGGCACCTGTCGCTCAGTGGGTAGGGCACAGGCCATATACACCATAGACACCTAGGCTTGCGGGTTGGAAACAGACCTGCCAAACAACAATGACAACTGCAACAAAAAGATAGCCAGGCGTTGTGGCTGGCGCCTATAGTCCCAGCTCCTTGGGAGGTTGAGGCAAGAGAATCACTTAAGCCTAAGAGTTAGAGGTTGGTGTGACACCACAGCACCCTACCAAGGGCAACACAGTGAGGCTCTGCCTCAAAAAGAAAAAAATTTTTTTTTCATAATCCTAACACTCTGGGAGGCTGAATCATAATCCTAACAATCTGGGAGGGTGGATTGTCTGAGTTCACCAGTTGGAGATCAGCTTGAGCCAGAGCAAGGCCCCTTCTCTAAAACTAACTGGGCATTGGGGCAGGTGCATATAGTCTCAGGTACAGGGAGGCTAAGGTAAGAGAATCGCTTAAGCTCAAGAGTTTGAGGTTGCTGTGGGCTGTGATGCTACGGCACTCTACTGAGGGCGACATAGTGAGACTCTGTCCCCAAAAAACAAAAGAGCGCTTGTAAAAATAAAAATATATAATCATTGGGGCAGCACCTGTGGCTCAGAGGAGTAGGGCGCCGGCCCCATATGCTGGAGGTGGCGGACTCAAACCCAGCCCCGGCCAAAATAAATAAATTAAAAAAAATATATATGTATATATGTAAAATCATGTTACTCTTCCATTTAAAACAAAACAAAACACAAAACACACACACACATATATATATTTCCTTATTGTTTTTTCATATTATGTATATGCCCCCTTTTGGTCAAGAGGATTGAGCTGTGCATGAAGACTGGGGAGGGGAGCCGGAAGGCGACATCAACCCAGGTGCCCTGTTCACCCTGACATAGTCCTCACCACCAGGTAGCTCCTCTGCTGGAAAGCTCAAATTCCCTCCTCCTCTCCCCCTTCATCTCCCTGGAGTCCCATCTTTATCTTGTGTCCTCTTTGGGGACGGTTCCCATCCTCGTTTGGGATTGCTTCACCCTTCCTTCTGGCCAGGAGTTAGGACGACTGTCCCCTCCTCCCTGGACTGGAGTGACAGTTCCATATGCAGAGGTCATGCCCCCTATCACCTGGGGTCACAGCCCCTTCCGTCGGGGGAGGGGGTGTGTCACCAGCCACAAGCAGGGATCACAGTTTCACCCGCGGCTGGCTCACAGGCCTCTGGCCCAGGACGCCCCCTCCCACGGCCTGGGTCCCAGTTTCCCGCCAAGGTCCCTCCTCCGAGATCCGTGGCTCCTCCTCCGGAGCCATGGTGCCCTCCCCGGGGGCTCCAGACCTTTCCCGGGAATGCCCCGAGCCCAGAGTCTCGGCGCCCACGCAGACCTCGTCGCTTTTGCGGGAGCCCTCGGACAGCTCGCAGCCCTCCTCCTCGACCACCTGCCAGGTCTTCTCGCGGCCGCGGATCGCGAGCTCCGGGGAAGACCGGTCGTCACTGCGCCAGGCCGGGTGGGGCGGGATGGCGACCGCCGCGTTGCTGGAGGCCGGCCTGGCCCGGGTGCTCTTCTACCCCACTCTGCTCTACACGCTGTTACGCGGGAAGATGCCGGGCCGGGGGCACCGCGACTGGTACCACCGCATCGATTCCACGGTGTTGCTGGGCGCGCTGCCGTTGCGGAACATGACGCGCCAGGTGAGCCGGGCCCGGAGGCCGGGCCCACAGCCGGGCCCAGCGCCTCCACGCCCGCATCGCCCCGCCGAGCTTCCCGGCCGGGCCTACGGGGCTTCCGCGGCCCTTGCTGAGCCCCCTCTTTGCCTCGGCAGCTGGTACAGGACGAGAACGTGCGCGCGGTGATCACCATGAACGAGGAGTATGAAACGAGGTTCCTGTGCAACTCCTCACAGGTTAGGCGCCCGGGCCGCGGTGGGGGGGTCGGGACCCAGGGGCAGGAGAGGGAGCAGGGGCGCCCGCCAGCCTTGCTCCCTATCCTGGGCCTGGGTCAGGGCCAGCTAGAGACGTTTGGGGGAAGAGGAACGCTGCAGGTGACCGTGCTCTAGAGATAGGAGTCCCAGGCTTCTTTGCCTTTTAGGGAAGGAGGATCTGGGCCTCTAAGCTGAAATGGCTGCTGCTGAAAGTAGAATAGAAATTAATTGTGAAAGACAAAAGCACGAAGCTGACAAAGTCTGATTACTCCTTGTGCAGAATTGTATTCTTTTTTTTTTTTTTAGAGACAGTCTCACTTGGTAGTTGCCCTTGGTAGAGTGCTGTGACATCACAGTTCACAGCAACCTCTAAATCCTGGGCTTAGGCGATTCTTTTGCCTTAGCCTCCCGAGTAGCTGGCACTACAGGTGCCTGCCACAACGCCCGGCTATTTTTTGTTGCAGTTTGGTTGGGTCTGGGTTCAAACCCGTCACCTTTGGTATATGGAACCAGTGCCCTACCTACTGAGCTACAGGCGCCGCCCCAGAAATGTATTCTTAATTTCACTAACCTAAAACCAGTAATTAAAATAAAAAGGCAACTTGCTAGACTTTGCTGATTTCATTTGTTCGTTTAACTTTTTTTTTGGAGACAGTCACACTTTGTCGCCTCTGGTAGAGTGTCATGACCTCATAGCTCACAGCAACCTCCAATTCTTGGGCTCGAGTGATTCTCTTGAGCCTCCCAAGTAGCTGGGACTACAGGCGCCCACCACAATGCCCAGCTATTTTTAGAGGCAAGATCTCCCTCTGGCTTAGGCTGGTCTAGAACCTATGAGGTTAGGCAGTCCACCCTCCTCTGCCTCCCAGAGTGCTAGGATTACAAGCCTCAGCCACCCTGTGTGGCCCATTCATTTAACATTGTTTTGAATACTGCATCTTGGTTAAGGCACTGTGTTAGGCATTCAAGATGAAGAATAAAGCAACAATTAAAATTAGAAATTAATGGGCGGCACCTGTGGCTCAAAGGAGTAGGGTGCCGGCCCCATATGCCAGAGGTGGTGGGTTCAAACCCAGCCCTGGCCAAAAACTG